TTTGCTCCCTCTACTGCTGACCCGTCGTTGTTTCTGCGCACCGACACTTCTTTGCCGCCGTTCTACGTCCTCGTGTACGTCGACGACTTGGTCTTTGCCACAGCTGACACTGCTGGACTAGCCTACGTGAAGTCCGAGCTGCAGAAGAGACACACGTGCACAGACCTGGGTGAACTGCGCAGCTACCTTGGCTTGCAGATCACTCGGGACAGAGCACGCCGCACCATTACCTTGACTCAGTCACACATGGTGCAGCAGGTCCTTCAGCGCTTCGGCTTCACGTACTCCTCGCCTCAGGCCACTCCTCTGTCTACTCGCCACTCGCTCTCAGCTCTGCCTTCGGATGAGTCCGTAGAGTCGAGTGGCCCGTACCCAGAGCTTGTTGGCTGCCTCATGTACCTGATGACCTGCACACGACCTGACCTTGCATACCCTCTTAGCATCTTGGCACGCTATGTTGCTCCTGGGAGACACCGACCAGAGCACATGGCTGCAGCGAAGAGGGTGTTGCGCTACTTGTGCAGTACGTCGGGCATGGGGCTAGTGCTTGGAGGGCGGAGTCCAGTGGTCCTCACTGGGCACGCGGACGCTTCTTGGGCAGACGACCAGGCTACACAGCGGTCGTCGCAGGGTTACACCTTCAGTCTTGGTTCCGGCTCTGTCTCGTGGCGGGCTACTCGCTCGTCCTCTGTTCTCAGCTCCAGTTGTGAGGCTGAGATCTACGCCGGGGCCATGGCTGCACAGGAGCTTCGCTGGCTCACCTACCTGCTGACTGACCTTGGAGAGCCGCCTCGTTCTCCTCCAGTGTTGTACGTAGACAACAAGGCCATGCTGGCCTTGTGTCGAGAGCAGCGCTTGGAGCACAGAACGAAGCACATTGCTCTCCGTTACTTTCTTGCTCGTGAGCTGCAGCAGCGTGGTCAGTTGCGACTTGCGTACGTGGCCTCTGAGGCCAACACTGCTGATGTGTTCACCAAGGCACTTGCGCCTTGTGACCATCAGCGCTTCTGCACCCAGCTGGGTCTTGTACCTGTCTTGCCTCACTTGCTCTCTTCTTGACCTTGCTTGTACTGTCACATATATATACCTGCTCTTGCTTGTCTAGCTCTATATATATATGTGTACTCCTGCATGTGAACTGGCCCTGTTGCCCTGTCGTTGTGCTCGGACTGTGTGGTGACTTTGTGATCCACCCTGAGCTTGCTCTGCTTTGCTTGACTGGTCTTGTGACCCCTTGTTCTCCCCCACTTTGCCTATGGGGGTGTGTCAGAACATATATATAGCTTATGCTGTTGTGTAGGCTATAGTGGGGTATCCCATAGGGGGTACAACCCAATTAGGGTTTCCCATATGTACTCACTTCATTCATAGTTCATTCATTTTCTCGTTCTACTTTTCTCATGGGTAGGGCTGGCGCTCGAGTACGCGGGTAGGGCAGGCGCTCGAGGGCGCAGGCAGGGCAGGCGCTCGAGGGTGCGGGTAGGCAGGCGCAAGGCGCGTGACGCGGCAGGCAGGCACGGCAGTGCGCTTCGGGCAGGGCGAAAAAAAAAAGTTCGTGGTGGGCCCTAAAAAGAACGTTCCCACTACGGAACCTGCTCTGTTGAAAGTTAGAACGAGGAATGGCTATAATGAGAACAGTACAAGGTTTGTATAGGCAAAACCTAACAGGGCTGTACCCTATAAGGAGTGCCCCACTATAGCCTAGAGCATAGTTCTGACACGTGTGAGAGTACGTAACCCAGCCTTTCTAAAAATAATAGCGACCCAATATGTTTGGGTTGCAACACGTCGTCAAGACCTAGGGTGTTCAAGCTAACAAAGCAAGTAAATAAGGGTGAAAAATCTATGTACATTGGAAAATATAGTCACATAGGTACTTACAATGTTATAATGTTTCTATGTTGCATACATCGAATTTGTACTTTTGTGCTTTAAAATATAATCATGAAATTGGTCTGAGAATGGCCTATAATTGTCCCACCCAACAAGACGTTCCGAGTGTGGCGAGAGAACCGTAAGTACCCAAAATCTAGAAGCCCGCGGGTGTTTGAAAAATATATAAACTATATTATAATGCGATGCTGACTTTTGTGACGTTAATGGTTTAATTTGCCACGCAATCCCCATCAAATACGAGCGTTTTAGAATACATGGAGAAACTGGTTGATTTTCTCGATAGAGTTTGGGACCTAGTAGGATGGGGAAGGAGAAAATGTTGGAGGGTCTGACTACTCTGAAAGGTTACCTCTATGCATTATCCGGGGAATGAAGAAAAAGGTACCAAACTGGCCCTAAATGAATTCGATTTAGGACCCCTATTCTTCAAATCAGGAAGTTAAGAAACAACGGTCTACTCTCAAAACGCACATTAGAATCCCTAAGGTGGGCTGAAGCTTGCCTGGAATATTCAGGCAAATGCCCTTGAATCTATGGGGCTGTTCGCCAGCACCAATGAAGCAAAAAACCATGGGATAACGACGGGATCAGGAAGGTGGATCTCGCCTTCCTGATCCCGTCAGTTAGGGTTCGTTTACCTCCGTCAGCCTGGTCAGCCCGTAAAAAAGGTCCCGAGCCTCCCCAACCGTCCAAACCAACAATCAAAGTGGGTGTCTGGCGAACGCCCCCATTTGTCAACCGAAACGAACTGCTCGACGGCATATGGAAGCGGGGACGCAACTTCGTCCATAGGCAAAGTTCCATCCCCAAGCCATGCCATCGCCATGCTGCGTTTTTCGAAGCACAGCGATGGCACAGCCGTCGCATTGCCGTTCAAAGGGGATTGGGGGGAAGGTGGGGACGGAGGTTCCCGATGCGGTTGCGAAATTTCGCAACCGCAGGCCAGAAGTTTCTTGAACGGCATTACGGCCAAACCTCGGAGGTGGGTTCCGCCTCCGTTTCCAGATGCGGTCGCGATGCCGATGCCATCTTTTTCATTTCAAATTACGATTTCCCGGCGAACAGCACCTATAACCCTTCTCCAGGCTCCTTGGGAGCTTCGAAGCAGACTGTTTGTATACCCGCTACGTGGCAATCTCACACACAACATTTCAACAAGCATACAGACATGCATAAACCCTTCCTAGAAGTGTCTTACTACCTCAAACATCAAAAGACCATCGCCAAAACCCGAAACAAAGTATTGCTTCCTAAGACATCTACAGCCGCATGTCGACCAAGTAGGGCACGTCCACCCATGGTGCTCCCTCTCCAAACTCCTGCTCCCCACTCCCTCGCTCCACCCACTCCGCCTCGGACTGACCCAACGTGTATGCCGCCCGCAAAAGAATCACCCGAGCCTGTGCCTTCTGCAAAGCTACCCCTACCGCGGCTGTCAAGGACCCCACCAAGTATTCCGAGAAACCCGAGCTGTTGCCCCTTCCCACACCTTTGTTAAGAGCCACCTTTACTTGAACCTCCCCCTGCTGCCGTAACCACTGTCGAAAGCTTCCCCCCAAGCAACCCCAAGTCTCAAGAATCAACGGGAAGAAACGAACCCCTCTGTGCTGCTGCAGAAAAGGTTGATAATCCGTCGCCTTCCTCTTCTCTCGCTCCTTGGCAGCAAAACCTACTGTCCGCCCACACTGCCCATGCTGCTGCACCGGTAGCGAAACCGGATCCACGACGCTCACCTCGAGCGCATTTTTTTCCCCGTCCATTGGTTTCCTAACCGCCACATCCACTCTCTTCCCCGGCAGAAGCGTGTCATCCTCGATCGTAACCACCCCACCCGATGCCTTGGCTATCTTAGCAACAACGAGCTTCACTACATCATGAACACGAGACGGGGCGTACTGGTACTTGCACCGAAGAGCATGGTGCGGATCTGACGGGTCCTTGAACTCCACACCGCAAACACACTTGCCAGCAACCAGAAGCTGGTGGACGGGAAGGCCCAAACGGATTGCCGCCGAAATGCCCCACTCCACAGGGGCGAAAGTTGCGTCATCATGCGCTGGAACTGCGGACACCCATGCTGCCGAACCCGGGCCCTGAAGGGAAGTCAAACGGGCCAAGGTAGCATCATCGCGGGCCATGCGCCGCAGAGACTGAAGACTTTCAACTGCCAAGCGACGCTGCTGCGCTGGGAAAAGCTGGAGGGGGGGATTTTGTAGTGCAGAGCCCCAAACTCGGCAATTCCTGCCTGACAACAGGCGGGAGCTGGTCAAGGGCCTTGGTAAACCAAGGGTCCAGTAAATCCCCAGCCGGCGGAGTGCGGAAGAACTCACTGAACATCTGCTCCTCGCCCGCTACTCCCAGCTTGACAACAGCACTCGCAGCCTGGCACCACCCACAGACGTAAGAGAGAGGGCTAAGAGTTGCTGCTGAACGAATGCCAAACCCGCCCAAACGAGCCGGGAGGTGCAGCTGCAGGTGAGCCATGCGCGACCTATCAGGACTGAAGTCCCAAGTGTCTGGCGGGAAAAGTTGCTCAAAGCAAGAGAGGTTCAAGGGATACACGAATAACGAACTCACGAAAATGAAATGCTACCAATAAGGAGAATTGAGGACCGGCGATGAGTGACGACGAGTGACGAGGAATCAGTAGGTTTCGTCAGCATCACGTTACACGTAGCACAAGTATTACAGCAGAACAATCGAGAACAGTGCAGGCACCAGGAGCAGCACCACCGCTCACCAGTGCCTGAATACGAAGCTCGATATTGCTCGTGCCAAAAGCAAAATGAGGAGTGCTGCGCCGGCCCAACTGCTCTCAGTTTGCTAGAGTCGCGAATTCTGTTGCGAGTTACGCCTTTGTTCAGATGAGCGTTGGCGCTGCATTCTGCCGCCTTGCGACCCCCGGTGGCTTAACTCGCTCTTCTCGTCTCCTCTCTTCTGACTTACCCCGACGCGCCGCGTCCCTTCACCGCCATATAAGTCTCCCATTTCGGCGCCCACCGAGCCGAGCGCAGGGAAACCCAACGACCAATCAGATCCGATTCAGATCTCCGTTCGCCCGATCATCGGACTCTTCCAGTGAAGACCCTCCGCCGTTTCTCCCCATGGTTCTCCCCGAGCCTCTAGGCCCGTTCCACGTGTCGTACGGGGACTTCGAGTTGCGCCGGAGCAAAGCGCCTGCCGAGCCGAGCGCAGGGAATGGCGGTCACGGGCATCACGTGCACCCGCCGCTGTTCCGCGTGTACTACCCTACTGATGGCAACGCTGAAGAGAGGTAGGCGGGGATTGCGGTAACTGTTAGAAGGAATTGGATTGGATTGCGCTGGACTGGCATCCGACAATCGTTCGTACTATCTCACTGTATTATAGCGCAATTCGCCATGTTACACTCACCTCCTGTGGCAGAGCGGATTTGTGACACGTCGTTGGGATGACGGGTCATAGCCAGATAGTGCGTGGTCCTGCGTATTCCATGCGGCATGGGATGGATGGGTGGATGGATGACAGTCAGACCATCTGTGTCTGTGCTTTCACATGCGAATTCAAGAGGCATTAATTGAGTTTACCACTGATAACAAGAGCCGTGCTGCGTGCGTGTGCGACTTTCTGTGCTGCGTATGTGCGAATGCATCCGATGGCAGGCGAGAGGTGGAGCGCAGTGCATGGCTGCCGCACGTGGCGTACCTGTACGGCTACATCTGCGCCATGATCCCGCCCTTCTCCTTCTTCGCCTCCATCCTCACCTGGCTGCTCTCCCGTGAGCCCCTCCTCCTCTTCTTACTCTCGCCGCCATGCCTTCTGCTCTCCCATCCCGTCTTCCCTTCGTCCCTTCTCCTCTGCTTCCATTCTTTCCGCTCTCCCTCCTTCCATGCTTCCATTCTTTCCGCTCTCCCTCCTTCCATGCTTCCAATCTTCCCTTCTTACCTTCGGCCCTTCCTCCTTTCAGAGTCATTCATCAAAGCGATTTCTTTGCCTTCACTAAAAGTCCACCTTTTTCTTCCGTTTCCTTCTCTCAAGCACAGTTTCTCTCCACACGTTTCTTCCCACTGATGTTGAGTTGAACTCTCTCTCTCTCTCAGACCGCCCGCTTTGAGCCCACTCACAGTTTCCAATCCCCGCCCATTCTCCCCACCACCCCCCACCACCAGGCATCACGTACCTACTAATCAAGCCATACGCCGCCATTCGCTGTCTCCCCGCGCGCCCTTTCATCTCCCGCGCCTCCCTGCTGCGCCACCTCACTCACCCCCACGCCGACCCCACCAGCAGTGGGGGGGAGAACCCCGAGGGTCGGCTGCCGGTGGTGCTGTTCAGCCACGGGCTGTGGTCCATGCGCTCCACGTACACTCAGTTCTGCTTCGACCTCGCCTCACATGGCTATGGTGAGTGAGCCCGTCCGTCCATCCCGCTGTGTGTCTGTGTGTGTGTTGTTTGTTTCTGTGCTCCAGCCTGGCATTTGAGCCGTCTCCAAAGGAGTCTGCCTAGCACGGCTGTGGCGAGTCTGTCTCTCTCTCTGGCTGTTCAGCCACGGGCTGTGGTCCATGCACTCCACGGACACGCAGTTCTACTTTGACTTTGCCTCGCATGGCAATGGTGAGTCCGTCCGCCTGTGTGCTTGCTCACGCCTTACTTGCATGGGTATGTGGAGCCTGTCACTCCATTTCTTCCTCGCCCTCCTATTTGGTGACATGCATCGCAGCAGTGCTCTCAAAACAACACAGTTTCTTCCCGCCTTCCCTCATCCCCCCACCTTTCCACTCCCCATCCCTACCCGCATCCCCCTCCCCTCTGACCAACCCCCAGCCCAACCCCTCTTCATCATCCCACTCCCTCTCCCGCTCCCCCTTCCAGTGGTGGTGGCGTCAGAGTGCACGGACGGCACAGCATGAATGGCGGCACAATTCTCCTCGCCTCACCTTTTCTTGTCTCCCTCTGTACAACCTCTCCCTCCCCTTCACCCCAACGCACAGTGGTGGTGGCGCCAGAATACACGGACGGCACAGCATGCATGGCGGCAGAGACAGACGGGGAAGAGGAGGAGGAGGAGGGGCGGGGAGGAGGAAAGGGAGGTAGGGTGAAGTGGATCCCTTATGAGCGCATGGACGTGGACTTCTTTGAAGTGCCCATGGAAGTGCGCCACCGGCAGCTGCAGCAGGTATGGGAGAGGACACAAAGAGTGACGCTGTCAGGTCGTTGAGTGTCTCGATAGGGAGGTGCCCCACGCTCCGCTCCGCCTCTCTCTCTCTCTCGTGAATCCTCCATGAGCGCATGGACGTGGATTTCTTTGAAGCTCCCGTGGACGTGCGACACAGGCAGCTGCAGCAGGTAAGCGAGACCCCCCGCCGCCTTCACGGCGACCCCAGGGCCGATGGACGGGTTCCCTGAGCCGCTTGGCATAGGGGACATGTTTTGCACCCGAGAGGTCCTGGCAGAGGTAGCTTAGGTCTAGCATGCCGTGCCTATACTGTGACCCCTTATAGTGCTTTGAACTCGCTTGTTTACTCAATGAAGGACCAGTCTAGGAGGTGGTGAGACAGGCAGGTTAGGTAGGGTAGGTAGGTGGTTAGGTGGTTGAGTATCGAGGTGGGTAGGTAGGTAGGTGGTTAGGTGGTTGAGTATCGAGGTGGGTAGGTAGGTAGGTGGTTAGGTGGTTGAGTATCGAGGTGGGTAGGTAGGTAGGTGGTTAGGTGGTTGAGTATCGAGGTGGGTAGGTAGGTAGGTGGTTCACCCTCGCTCTTCACCATTAAGCCACCACGTATGGGAAGAAAATTTATTGTTCAAGCTTTGCTTCCCCCTCACACCCTTTCTCTGACTTATGAATTTCCACGAGCGCATGGACGTGTGGCACAGGCAGCTGCAGCAGATGACTGAGGGAAGACGCAGTGTAAATTAGCCTTTGTTCTTTGGAGATGTATCACTTGAACAGGCACACAGAACGCTCGCTGAAGACTCGGGTCCTTATTTCTCACCCTCTCTCACTTCCCAAACTGACTCTGTCTGTCACCCTTCTCCCCGTCCTCTCTTCACTTTCCCCTCCCCCACCTCCTCCCTTCCAGCGCATCACATCCCTGCGCTCCATTCTAGCACTCCTCCACCGGATCTACAGCAAGCAGATATCCATCAACGCAGCTCACCACATATCCCCCTTCGGCTTCCCCCCACACCCCCCCTCGCTCCCTTTATGTGTCTCTTCCCTGCAGCGCATGGCAGCCCTGCGCTCCATCCTAGCGCTCCTCCACCAGTTCAACAACGGGCACGTATCAGACTCCCGCAACGCCATCACAAGCGCTGCTTGCCTGCTCCCCTCGTCGCTCGCGGGTCGTCTCGACCTCTCCCACATTGCCCTCGCAGGCCACTCCTTTGGGGGCGCCACCGCGGCGTTTCTTGCTGGGGTGGCTGAGCAGCCAATCAACGGCTTCCACCTGTCGCTGTCGCCAGCTGTGCATGGTGGAAGAAGCGATGGGGACGGGGACAGGGACGGGGATGGGAGCGAGGGCTCCCTGGTGTCACGGGTGTCGTCTGTGGTGGTGCTTGACACGTGGTGGCGCCCGTTGCCTGATGTAAGAAGATCTGCAGTTTTGTTGCTGACGACCCGCCTGTGTTAGCATAATATGAATAAGTTTCGCCTGGGATTGGGATTATGTTTGTGTTGGCACGAGTTTTTCTATACTGTCGTTCTGTGCTCTTCCTGCTTCACTGCCACTGCACAGCCTCCCACCTTCCTTGACCACCTGCCCGCCCCAACCTTCTGCCTTTTACAAACTCTACCTCCAGCTGCTTCATCTGCCTTGCTTCTCAGCATCCATTCGCATCTCATGACCCTTCCTAGTGCTGCTGTGCATAGACACAGAGGGGCTGAACGCAATCATGGCGCCGCTTCTCGTCCTCCACCCTCACCCATCCTTCCACTGTTCTCACCTCCTTGCACCGCACTGCACCGCTCTCCACACTCGGTTTTGCAGGAGGCCATTGCGCTGGCAGGGGGAAAGGCAGCACTGCTGTGCATCGACACAGAGGGGCTGAACGCGGCTCGCAACGTGGTGGCGCGGAAGCGGTTCCTCCAAGGGCGCCTGCTGTCCTGGCGCGACCGGTGGCTGCAGATCATTAAAGAGCAGGCACAGCAGGAGAAGGGAGAAGCAGAGGAAAGAGGGGCGGAGGGGAAGGGAGTGGGGACGGAGGGAGAGGAGGAGAGGAACGGGAGTGGAAGGAGGGATGGGGAGACGGAGAGTGTGACTGAATTGATTGTGCTTGTGGTGAGTGGGTGGGGACTCGTGTTTGTGTGTGTGAAGGGGGAAGATGGTGTGAAATGGGCTGCGTTTTATGTTTTTGAGAGCCTCCAAACCGATCTCCTTTCTCACTCTCGTACTCTATCTTTGCCCTTCGTCCCTCCCTCTTTCCCTCCCTCCCTCCCTCCCTCAATCCCTCCCACTCTCCCCTCTTTCCCTCCTGCCGTCCCTCCCTCCCTCAATCACTCCCACTCTCCCCTCTTTCCCTCCCTCCGTCCCTCCCTCCCTACTTTTCTCAATCCCTTTCCCCGCTATCCCTCCCCTCCCTCCCTCTCGTCCCGTCCCTGTACGACGCTGAACGCCATTCCTCCCGTCCCCCCTCTCTCCCACCCATTCACCGCACACCACAGGGGTCAGCCCACCAGGACCCCTCCGACCTTGCTCTGGTGGCACCTGCCATCATGAAGAGCGCCAAGTGAGTCCCCCCAAACTCCCTGCCTCCCTCCTCCCTGTGTCTTCCATCCAAACTCCATGCCCCACTCGTCCTTGCCTCCCATCCTCCCTGCCTCCGCTCCTCCCTGCATTCCCTCCACTCGTGCTCGCTCGCTCATCTCCATTTCAACCCGTCCATGCTTCCATCTCCTGCTTCCACTCGTTCCATGTTGTGTACTCTTCAACTCGTTCACGCGTTCATGCTTCCAATCCACCCACCCCACCGTCCTCGCATCCATGCAACCACCGCACATCTGCCCCATGAATTCTTGAAAGAAGTCCTCGCTGCGTGTCGCCATGGCAGGGCTTGATTGTTACCTCTTTAGGTGCCTCATCACCCCCCATTCCGCATCTTCTCCTCCCCCCCTCCCTCCCCCCCCGCCGTGTGTCTCCCCATGCGTCTCCCCATGTGTCCCCATCTGTGTGTCCGCCCTCTGTTGCGCCCATCGCCCTGCGGCATGGCAGGATGGCGGGGGCCATCCCACCGCCCATCTTCCACCGCATCAACAGCGGCGCCGCTCTGCGCTTTCTGCACCAAAACTTCCCTCTTGCAAGGAAATGTGTGTCCTTAGCTCATTTCAATCAGACCCGCCATTCACCCTTTTCACTCTTTCCCCCTCCCTTCTACTCTTTTCGCGTCCCTTCCTCTCTTCCCCCCTCCCCCACCTCCTTCTTCCTATCTCTCATTGCACGCCCTTCTCTCCTTAGTCTTGCCTATTTTCCCCAAAAGAACTCACCACTACTCTGTATACAGTAATTCACGTACAGTGTTCTTCTCTTTTCCGCTTGCCGATTCTTCTTGAACGCGCGCTTATCCCATCCCATCCCATCCCATCCCATCCCATCCCATCCCATCCCATCCCATCCCATCCCATCCCATCCCATCCCATCCCATCGCTCGCATCTGCTCCCATCCCCTGTTGGCAGATGGGCTACCGGTACCGCCGGCATTGGCAGAGGACGCGGTGCACATACAGCACGTGGACGTGCCAGAGTATGTCAAGGACCTCGTCCAGATCGCTGCCCCCCACTGACTTGAAAGCTCGCACCTGCAGTACCGCACTGTACCATACTGTAGTACTACCCATGATGTGTTATTACCAGTCGGACTCACAGAGGGTGCTGTGCAGTGGGCATGTTTCGCACGTGGGGCATGCTCCTGTGTGGTGTATATGCAGTACTGCATGTGGGTGGACTGGACTGGATGGATGTGCCTGAGTATGCCAAGGACCTGGAGGCTGGACCTGATTGCGGTTAGTGAGTGCGGCATGGCATCCATTCATTTGTGTGTTGTGTAGTAGAAATCATCCCTGGTGACTGGATCGGACTTGAGGTAACAGAATGCTGTGCATTTATGATACACCATGTGGAGTGGAGTGGTTGTGAGTGGATGTGGGAACCAGTAAGTGAAGCTTTTTGTAGCAGTTTGAGTTCTCCTTGAAGCTTTCTTACTGGCACCTAAAAAGGACAAAACTGTTTGAGAGTTCAAGCTATGTAAACCTTGTCTCAAATAGTCACACTTGTTGCCTATGTATGTTAAAAACACACAAAACTCACTATTCTCAACCCAGAGTTATCCACCAAACCTCTCTGCACAGAGGAAAACATCCCCTACATAAGGAGCGCGCCATTCTCCCCCACTCCTCCTCTCCCACTCTTGCTTATGTCATGCATGGTACATAAGGACAGCACAGCAACATGACAGTAGGCAGCATTGCCTGCTTGCCAGCATGTATGCGTGGCACTGGCAGTGTAGGTCGCTACTGTGCATGCGCGTGCATGCGTGCGTGCGTGCGTGAGTGGGTCAGTGCTCGGCAGCGGAGAAGAAGATGACAAGGAAGTACACGGCAAAGCCTGCCAGCAGGATGGAGCCGTACAGCAGAGCGCCCGCCGTGCGCGAGGGGAAGCGGTGCTCTATGCGGCAGCACCGCATCGCCTCGTGCGCGTGCGATAGCTCCTCCTCCACGTAGCTGGGGGTGGCGGGGTGTGGGTGTGGGTGTGAGGAGGGGGGAGCAATGGGGAGCAAGGGGTTGTGGGGGTATGCAAGGATGGACACGGGGGGACGAGAGCTCTATGCAGTAGCACCGGCTGATAGCTCCTCTTCCACGTAGCTGGACAGGGGTGGGTGGGTGTGAGTGGGGAGGGAGGAGCAAGGGAAAGCAAGGGGGTGCAGGGGTGTGGTGAGCGGTGCTCTATGCGGCAGTACTGCATGGCCTCATGCACATGTGGGGTGGGAGACGGCGGCGGCGGCGGCGGCGGCGGCGATGGTGGTGGTGGTGGTGGTGGTGGTGGTGGTGGTGGTGGTGGTGGTGGTGGTGGTGGTGGTGGTGGTGGTGGTGGTGGTGGTGGTGGTGGTGGTGGTGGTGGTGGTGGTGGTGGTGGTGGTGGTGGTGGTGGTGGTGGTGGTGGTGGTGGTGGTGGTGGTGGTGGGCAGGGTGGGTGTGTCAGCTACACTGCAACGAGCAAGACGGAAGAATGGAACAGCAGCTGCTTCCCCTCCCCACAACTCCCAACCTCCCGCCTCCCGCCTCCCTGCTGTATCTCCTCGTCCTCCACTCGCTTTCACTCTCTTCTCTCTCCCCAGGATGTTTCAATAAGATATTGGTAAGTAGCATAAACTAGGACAGCAAGGGCAAGAGGTGCCATGGAGGCAGCATGGCAAATGACACAGGGCACAGGGAACACAGCACTGAGAGAAAGCTGTAAAGAAGGGAGGGACGCCCGAAAGCATGTCAAAGCAAGCCTAGGCTGCACTGGACTAAGGAACCTCAAAGTGTGGAAGGGGGCTGAGGGAGTGGGATGGGGGGAGGGAGTGGGAGAGGGAGTGGAAGAAGGAGTGGGAGGGAATGGGAGAGCACTTGGAGAGGGAATGGGAGAGGGAGTGTGAGAGGGAGTGTGAGGGGGAGTGGGAGGGTAAGTGTGGGAAGGATGTAGGAGTTGAGGGGGACTGAAGGAATAAAAGGGGCCTCAGAGAGTAGGAGGTTCACAAATGGCAGGGGGGTTGAGGTTGAGGGGTGTGAAGGTGCGGAAAGGGTAGAGGAATAAGGGGCGTACTGGTGGAAGCCGTGGGTGAAGTGCAGGAGGGAGCGCGAGAGGTGGTGTGCGTCCGCCAGCTCATGCTCGTACAGGTGCGAGCTCAGCTTCGATAGATGCTCCTCCGCCTCCTGGTGAGGTGGGGTGACGAGCGGACATGGTCAGCACGGGAATAGACAGCAAGGGGATGAGCATGGGTGGGATGGAGGGAGAGGGTAGTGGGGTGGTGCGTGTGCGCTGGCCAGCTCGTGCTTGTACAGGTCAAACGAGAGGGGTACCTTTACAGGTGCGAATCGGTCCACAAACGAGGGGGGAACCTTCTCAGGCGCCTCAACACCCGAAGAGCACAGAACCAATTTCTTAAGCCCTAGCTGCCCTTCAGCTGACCCAAGCTGCCCACTCATGATTACCTTAAGGGTGTGTGTGAGGCGCTCCACCACAGAGTGCGGTATGGGCAGCGAGGACCGCGCCGGGTCTGAATAGATCGACTCCAGCGCCTTGAGCACCGCCTTGAGACTGCTGCCCGTGCTGTTGGTGCTGCCGTGTGCGTCCGAGTGCGTGGGGTGGTGCACCTCGTTGCCCAGCGCCGCGAACAGGTACGTGTTGGAGAAGTCCTCTATGGCCTGTTGTGATGGCAGGGACGAGATGAGGGAGAGGCAGCAGTGGGGGACATGTGTGCGAGTAGAAAATTGAAAAGATTAGGAGCTGAGGAGCGAACAGGTACGTGTTGGAAAAGTCCTCTATGGCCTGTGGCGGCAGGGACGGGATGAGGGAGAGGCAACAGTGGAATGAGCGAGCCGTGCACGGCTGTGAGAGAGCCGTGCATGGTGTGAGAGAGCCGTGCATGGTGTGAGAGAGCCCTCACTCCCTAGGCACCCCCTCAATTTTCGGATCACCATTGTCCCCACCTCCCCCTTTCCCCTCAACGTCCCCTCCCTCTCTTCCCCTCTCCCTGAGGCACCTGTAAACAGCAGTGCAGTGCTCCCCCCTCCCCACTTCCCCCCTCCTCCCCGACCCCACCCCCTACCCTCTCCCCACTCCCACATGCCCCCTCCCCCCTCCCCCATCCCCCCTCCCCACTCCCCCATCCCCCCTCCCCCCTCCCCCCTCCCCCATCCCCCCTCCCCACTCCCCCATCCCCCCTCCCCCCTCCCCCCTCCCCCATCCCCCCTCCCCACTCCCCCATCCCCCCTCCCCCCTCCCCCCTCCCCCATCCCCCCTCCCCCCTCCCCCATCCCCCCTCCCCCATCCCCCCTCCCCCCCTCCCCCCTCTCCCATCCTCCCTCCCCCATCCCCCCTCCCCCCTCCCCCCTCCCCTCTCCACCCTTTCCCCCTCCCCTTCTCCCCCCAGCGCCCCCCCCCTTTAAACCCCCCCTCCCTTCAAAGCCCCCCTTCCCCCTCTTCCTTCCCTCTCCCTCTCCCACCCTCCCCCTCCCTCTCCCTCACCTGGATGCAGCGGTGCAGGGAGCGAAGGGAGATGTCAACGCGCGAGTACACGGCGTTCATGAGGATGGTGTCCTTCAGCAACGCGCTCAGCGACGACGTGTTGGACACCGGCCCGAACGGGTGGTGCCCCACCGCCCACACCCAGCTGCGCCGCATGCACCGCTGCCTGTGCACCTGGTGCCGTGCAGGGTGGGCAGGTGTGGGCGGGTGTGTGGGTGTGTCGATAACGTTCATACAGATGCATGCATGCAGCCAAACGCGCACCACATGGAAACACACACGCAAACATTACATGCACACATGCACACGGCGAGCATGTTCGGGCAGGCATACACGCAGAAGGGAAAGGAAAAGGAAAAAGGTTTTTTAAGACGATTCACACTTGCATGCACGTCAAAGCGCGGCAGAGGCGAGATGGAACAAGGCCCCGTGAGAGAAGAGTGGGGTGGGTATTGCATGAAAGCAGGAGTGGCGTGGGCCAGACATGTGATACCAGTGATGCAGCCATACTGACCAAGCAGCAACAAGTACAGGCAGTGGTAGCACTGCTAGCTGGGAGAAGCAGCAGTGCTAGCTGGGAGAAGCAGCAGTGCTAGCTGGGAGAAGCAGCAGTGCTAGCTGGGAGAAACAGCAGTGCTAGCTGGGAGAAGCAGCAGTGCTAGCTGGGAGAAGCAGCAGTGCTAGCTGGGAGAAGCAGCAGTGCTAGCTGGGAGAAGCAGCAGTGCTAGCTGGGAGCATCCGCAGCAATGATGGCAATAGAGTCGGCAGGGGTAGGGGGAAGGGAGAGGGGGGAAAGGGAGGAGGGGGGCAGCAGCGGCGGCGGTGGCGGCAGCATGTGTTACATTGAGGTCTTCATAGGGAGCCACGAGTCCTCCCAGTGATGCTGCTATGCCGGCTGTGAGTGGGCGCTGCAGGTGCTGTGGCGACACAAACACCGGCTGGCCTTCTGACACGAACCTGGTGCAAGTGACAGAGGTGAGGTGAGAGGGATACAGAAGGGGGGGGGAGAGTGAGATTGGTAAGATGAGGAAAGATGTTGCGAACACGAATCTGATGCGAGCGGACCGGAGGGAGAGCGATGGGGGAAGAGGGACCAGGGAGAGTGATGGGCGAGAGGGACTGGGAGATGGATGGGGGGAGGAGAAGGAGAGAAGACAAAAATGGTGCGAGGAGTGTGAGACCGAGAAAGGGCACGAGACGATAGTGTTGATAGGAGGGGTTGGTCACCAGGGTGAGACGAGTGGTGAGAGGGATGATGAGGGGAATGGTGAGAGGGACGGTGAGGTGGATAATAGATGAATGAAGCATCGAGGCGAGGAGTGGTGGGCGTGACACTGGCATGCCATGGGACCCTTCCACCCACACCATGTATACATGCGTGCACCCTCACATCACCCTGAACCCACCATGCAACTCTATGTTCGCAAACAAACCATGCATGCACTCACTCAAGCTCCAGCCACCGACCGCACACCAAAACGCATCACCAGCCACACACCGTGTGGGCTGCGCACGGTGCTGTTCTCGGGTGTCTGCAGCACCGGCACTGCATCCGACACTGCACACACCTGCTGCCCTTACAAGCCGTCTCAAATGCTACGCAATATCCAACCCAACCATCGAATCGCACTGCACCACTCATACCACCTACCGTGTGCGCACAGTGTTGTTCTCTGCTGTCTGCAGCACTAGCACAGCGCCCCGTGCAGCATACACCTGCTGCCCTCACGATTCGTTCCAAAGGCGACCCGATATCCAACCCAACCACTGCACCACACTTAACTGCACTGCACCACACCGCACCACACAACTCATACCGTGTGCGCACGGTGTTGTTCTCTGCTGTCTGCAGCACCAGCACGGCATCCGGTGCCGCATACACCTGCTGCCCTGCGCCCTGCCCCTCCTCGTCCGCCATTGTCAGCTGCCCCTCTATGCCCGCCAGTGACAGCACAAAGCTGAGCGGGAGAGATATGCACGGGGAAGGGGAAAGGAAGGGGGAGGAGGGAAATCAGGATGGATATTGTTCACTTCAGCAGCCCTCTGGCATGGCCAGCTGCCCCTCTATGCCCGCCTGCCAGCGACAGCACAAAGCTGAGCGGAAAGAGATGGTGAAATATGGAAGGAGGGGAAAAGGGAGAGGAAGGGAGGGGTTGGGACAGGGAAAAGGGGGGGGGGGGGGGGAGGGGAGGGGGTGGACTAGTCAGTTGCAGCTGTTTCTCCTAGGTCGCCAGTGACAGCATAAAAGGGGGGAAGGGGGAAGGTACAGCAGCCAGCTAAGGGGGGAGGGGGGGGGGGGAAGGGGAAGGTGGGGAGGAAGGAAGAGGTGGGGTTGGATAGAGGGAGGGGTCATGGCGATTCTAGTTTTTTATTGTGCAAGGAATAAGGCGAGAGGGGACAATAACAGGACTGGTGAGAGGGGATTTGTTTTGCGTGGAGTCAAGTCAAAGCACACGTGAGGAATCGTTTGAGTTGTAGAGTGCAAAGTATTTTTTTAGGCGCCTCAAAAGTCGTCTATGTTTTGAGGCGCCTCAAAAGAGAAATCGATTGAGTTGTAGAGTGCAAAGTGAAATCTGCTGGCCATTGAGAACATCAGCACACACAGTCTCCATCCAGATGCAAAGGGGAGACCAAGAGTAGCTAGCCACCAACACAGCAGCCCCAAAGCACCACCACAACAGCAGCACTCACACGGGCAGCACGCGTGTGCCGTGCTCCCTCGCCAGCTCTGTGTCCACGGCGCGGCGGGCGGTGCCCTTGGTGCGCTCCTTCAGCCCCACATGCACGTCCCACGACCATGGGAACTCAGGGCACACACACACACACACAGTCCCCGGATTCACCACTCACACAGGCAGCACGCGCGTGCCGTGCTCTCTAGCCAGCTCTGCATCCACGGCGCGGCGAGCGGTGCTCTTGGTGCGCTCCTTCAGCCCCACGTGCGCGTCCCACGACCGCTTCACCGGCAGAATGGTGCGGCGCGGCGGGGCCTTGGAGGGGGATGGGGGGGACGTGCGCACCACACTGTCCTCCTCGCTCGCACTGGCTGCCTCGTCTGCCGCCTCCACTGCTGCTGCCTGGAGGGGGGAGGGAGGGGGTGGGTGGGAGGAGAGAAGGGAGGTGGGGGAGGAAAGGAGAAAGGAGGAGAGGGGCCGGGGGAAACAGGCGGTTGGAGGGGAGGAGTTTCAGAAGCAAAGAGGCCTTGAGTGGGGCTGGGGCGACGTGCGCACAACACTGTCCTCCTCGCTGGCACTTGCAGCCTCGTCCGCCGCCTCCACTGCTGCTGCCTGGTTGTTGGGGGGGAAGGGGGTGCGTGGGGTGGGTGGGTTGGAGGGGGTGGAAGGAAGAGGGGGTGGGAGGAAGTGTGTAGGGAGGGGGGGGTGAAAGTTGGCTCGCGTCTCTCACAAGGCGTGGACGGAGGAGGTAGGAGCGGGAACAGAACCAAAGGACTGTGCAAACAGCAGGAATAAGGAAGGGGCGCAGGCAGAATAGGGCAACAGGAAGGGAGAGCAGGGTGCAGGGTACGGTACGAACCGGGTCTTCAAGGAAGAGCGAGGCGGAGAGAGCGGGGTGCGCTGCCTCTAGCAGCGCAGACGCGAGCATGTCAGCCGACTCGTGGAATTGCTGTGCGGGGGGGGGGAGGACGAGGAATTGGAAGGAAGGAATGAGGGAGGAGGGGAGGAGAGGTTGAGCTGAGCTGAGCCTAGCAGAGAGGATGCAAGCATGGCAGCGGACTTGCGGAGTAAAGTGAAAGAACGAGGGAAGGAAGGAACAGGGTTGGGAAGACGAGACGAGCAGGGGCATGGATGAAGAGAGAGGAGTTGGGAGGGGGAGGGAATAGGGGCCGTTGGAAAACAGGGGGATGAAAATGCAAGGGATTGGAGAGAGCAGCAGAAGCAAGTGCAGGAGACACTGAGAGAAGGAAGAGTGGAAAGGGGAGAGGCCACGCTCCGTATGCGGAAGATTGACGAGTGCGGGAGGGAGGAGAGGGAGGTGAGGGAGGTGAGGGAGGTGAGGGAGGTGAGGGAGGGGGAAGGAGCGGCTCACATGCAGCAGGTAGGGCGCATCAAGGAAGCTCCTGGTGCCGTGCGAGGTGGAGCCATCGGTGTGGGTGAGCAGCACGGACTGGTGCCGAATGGACTTCTCCACCGCCATGGCCAGCCGCTCATGGTCGTGCAGCGAGTGCCACCCGTTCACCAGCACCACCTCCTGCCCCGGGGCCAACATGCCCGTGATCTGGGAGGAAGGAGGAGGGGTGTTGGGTGAGAGGAGGGAAGGAGGGAGGAAAGGAGTGATTCAAGGCTTGCTACCCCTTCACGAGCACCACCTCCTACCCCGAGGTCAGCATGCCCGTGATCTGCGAGGATAAGGTGGGATGTGTTGGGTGAGAGGAGGGACAGAGGGAGGAAGTGGGCGGCTCAAGGCTTGCTACTCCTTCACGAGCACCACCTGCTGCCCTGGGGCCAACATGCCCGTGATCTGTGAGGACAAAGGAGGGGGGGGAGAGGAGCAATCGGGAGAGGAGGATAAAGAGGAGGAGAGGAGGGAAGAACTGGGGAGGTTGAGTTATTTCTCTTCTTTTTTGTTGAGATACACTATGACATGCATAAATCCGCAGTCGCAACTGAGGCTGGGGAGGTTGTGTAGGAGGCGCATCTACAGAGAGTGTTGGTATCAACTCAGACTCATTGTTACTGGGGCTTGCACCTGTGCTTCGAGCTGGTGCAGGTTGATGGAGTGGGCATGGCCCGGTGCGAGGGGGTTGAAGTGGCGGTGGTTGGACAGCACTATCACGGCCACCAGCACCCTGTGACTCACGTCCACGTTCAAAAATCTGTTAAGGGAAGTGTGGAAAGGGGGGGGGGAGGGGGTTTGGTCGGAGGAGGAGGGGGGAGGTGCGGGAAAAGAAGGGGAGGTTATTGGGAGAAGGACGGGTCTGTTTCTAGCGAACGGATGGTCGGACGGAGGGACAGAGGGACGGAGGGACAGACAGAAAAGAGGCGGAGGCAGCGGGTGAGCAACGAACCGGACGTCGGGTGAGAAGAGGTGCTCCACAGCGGAGGACACGACATCTGCCAGCGCACCCGAGAAGAACTCCTTGCTCTGCGCCTTCCCTGCCCCGTGCAGCGACGCCGCCGCTGCTGCCGCTGCAGCCGCAGCCGCAGCGGCACCAGCATTACCCCCAGCGGCAGCGGCAGCGGCGGTGGATGAGGAGGAGGAGGAGAGGGTGGGTTGGTCGGGAAGGAACATGGAGCGCACGCGGGGGATGGTGCCTGGCACCACTGCGCCCTCTGCCTCGCCCAAGTGGCCGAATGTGACTGGGCCGGCCGAGAGGTCTATCACCACGTATCTGCGGTGGCGGGAGGGTAAGGGGAAGGGAGAGGGGAGAGTTGAGGACGAAGGAGGGGGGAAGGAAGACTTGTGGGAGGAGGGAGGGGTGATGGGAGGAAAGGCTTGGGGTGCGGGCAGAGGGAGAGGATGGGTGGGTTGGGTAGAGTAGAGGGCGGCGGGTGGATGGGCTGGAGACTGGGATTAGGCAGAGGAGGGCATGATATGAGAGTGTCGCGCAAGGATGGGTGAGTTTTGAGTCGACTCAAAAGTCACTTCAAAGGGCATGATATGAGAGTGCCGCGCAAGGATGGGTGGTTGGTGTGTGTGGTGACCGTGAGGATGATGAAACGAGAAGATGCAGACAGAAAGGGACTGGATGGAAGGATGCATGGATGTCAGGTTGCAAGGGGCTGAATGAAAGCTGTCAATGTCTGATTTCAGAATTTTGGTTCGAGCGAATTTCGGTTCCCCTTTCACAGAACCTTCAGTTCAGAGCTCAGCTCCGCCCTGGTGTTCTAAGTGGCAGACAGACAGTCAGTCATGACTCAAGTGACTGGATCCATTCCATGCGCAAAACATAGCCCGCCCCATCCCATCCCATGCATCGCACGAGAGTAGCATACATAACAACACAAGCATGCACGCACCCTCCTGCCTGCGCTCAGAAATATTCATCCACCTTTCACAGAACCTTCACTTCAGAGCTTCGCCCTGGTGCGCTGAGTGGCAGACAGACAGTCATGCCTCAAGTGAACGGATCCATCCCATCCTCTAAGGATAGACCGCCCCATCCCATGCATCGCACGACAGTAGCATACATACGCATGCATAGGATACATCCTATCCTAAGACCTGCACCCGCCTGTCCCCATAACCTCCCTCGTTCCCTGTCCCAAGTCACGCCCCACCCACCCACCTGGCATGTGAGAGCCACGTCTGTGCGTTCCCTGCCCTGCACTGCAGCACCGTGGCAGGAGTATGCACGCGACGCAACGCCCTCCTGCTCCTCTCGAGCTGGCAATGACAGGAAAACCACACACTACAATGCAGTACCTCTTCAAAGGCAGCTCACTCAAAGCTCACCTGGCGTGGGAGAGCCACGTCTGAGCGTGGCCTGCGCCGTGGTACGAGTATGCATACGAGTACCCGCCCTCCTGCTGCTCTAGCTGCTGCTCAGTCAGGGCCGATGTGGCGGGGCCTGCCGGCGGTGGGCGTGACGGGTCCATCCGTGTCTGTGGAGCGAGGAGTGGGAGAGTGGAATGGACAGGAGGTTGTGGTGGATGGAGACGGGCAAGAGAGGGGAGAAGGAGGGGGAAGGGGATGGGGGAGGGCGGAAATGGAGTGGGGCGGGAGGGAGGGGAGGGAGAATCTTTGTGGTGGGACGAGGGCAAGGAAGGGTGGTACCGTGGTACACTACACCTTACAACTGGTGTCTCTAGCTGCTTCTCAAACAGCCCGATGTGGAGTGGGGCGGTGGGCCTGGCCTGACGGTGGTGTTGGGCACGATGGATGGATGGAGACAGGAAGGAAAGAAAAGAGTTTAGGGATTTGGAGTTGATACTAGCAGAATCAGAACCGTTGCAACTGGTGCCTCCTTGCTCCTTCTCCTTCGCGTACATCACATCACATCACACACACTTGTACCACAAGAACGCACAACCCCCTTCCGCACCCCACCCCACCCCACCCGGGCCACCCCCACCCCACCCGAGCCACCCCCACCTCCACGTCCACCCGTACATGCCCACGAACCTTATCCAGGTTACACAGAAAGACGGCGATCGCCTTGTGCGGCTGGTTCTCCCCCGCGCTGCCGCCCTCCTCCCCCTCACCCTCAGCAGGCTGCTCAAAGAGCTCCGAGTACATGCGGTCGAACGTGGGCTCTATGCTCGTGGCCTCCACCGTGTACACCTGGGTGCGGGCATGAACACATAGGGGTGAGGAGTCAGAGGCAACAAGCGTGGTGATTTTCTAGGTGCGTGGGCTCTATGCTCGTTGCTTCCACCTTGTACACCTGGCGTGGGTGGGGGTATCGTGAATGCGCATAGAGGGGTGGTGGTAGAGGACCAAGGAGGATGTGATTGTTTTAGCACGTTAGGGATACAACGTGGGCTCGATGCTTGTCGCCTCCATGTGTACGCGTGGGGGTATGATGGATGCACTGCACGCAGAGGAGTGCTGTTGGGACAAAGGCGGACAAAGGGGGACAAAGGCGGACATGATATTTGAGGCACCTAAGGAAGACAGCGTGGGCTCTATGCTCGTCGCCCCCACCGTGTACACCTGGGCACACAGTGGAGTGTGAAGAAGGCGAATGTAGACGGGGGGACGGTACACCTGTGTGCGAGACGAACGACGGGGGGTGTTGTGTTGTTATCCTTTAGCACAGACAAGAGGGACGGCATGGTAAGGAACACAATGTGGGCTATATTCTTGTCGTCTGTACTGTGTAGAGCTGGGAGGATGAACACAGAGGGGTGGTGCAAGAGGAACGATGCGGAGTAAAGGGGAGGAGGAGGGAGGGAAGGGAAGGGAAGGGAAGGGATGTGACTAAATTTCGGGTAAGGTTGTTCCACTCGTGCGATGTGAGTGAGGCCTGTAGACTTATCATGCCGTGAGTGAGTGAGTGAGTGAGTGAGTGCTACGTGACGCGATGTGTTCACGTCAACACCCACCCAGGGCGCTTGACATGGGTGCTCGGTGCTCTCACTACTCACTACTCGCTGCGCCCTGCTCACACACACACCCACGCAAGAACCTATGCTTATGCACCCCCAACCTGATAAACGTACCGTGGTGTTGCTGCCAGCAGCAGCAGCCCCGGGTGCAAGCTTGAGATTGGAGCGAACGGCTTTCTCTAGCGACACCAGGCTCTCCTCCGATGCCTGTGGCATGTGGCGTTGGTCGAGGCCGGGAGGGCGGAATGTGGGGGGCAGGGCAGAGGGGGGAGAGACGGCCGTTTTGAACGACTCGGACGCCATCTAGTGACACAAGGCTCTCAAAGATGCCTGTGGCATGTGGTGTGGACGGCCGGCAGGGAGAGAGGGGGGGCGGGGGCGGGGAGAGGATGGGGGGGTGAATGGGGAGGAGGAGGGGGAGGTGAAGAGCGGGGAGATGATGAGGGGAGGAAAGGGTGGGGGGAGGAGAGGGGGGAGTAGGAGAGTGCAAGATGCGGTGGCGGTGACAGGCAGGGATGACTTGTGGGCACTTGAGAGGAGAGGAAGGGAAGGAGGAGCACACATGATGCTAAGGGAAGGAAGGGACCGATGGATGATTTTCAACTGTCACCAGTAGCAGCAGCAGCATCAGCATGCCGTGTCATGTTCAAACGCCCGTGTCATGTCAGTTCACCCCTCGCTCCTTAGTGTCTCTACTGCCACTCCAATATCTCTCTGGTTTCCCTACCCCTCCACACCACCCTCCACCATTCCCAACCCAACCCAGCCACCTCCCTCCCTCCCACCCCACGCACCTTAACGACGTTGTAGCTGAGCTCGTGCTGCACGAGCATCTCGCGGCGGGTCTCCCAGCAGGCGGGGCGGTGGTAGCTGAAGCCGTGGTGCAGCAGGTACTCCACCTGCTCGCCCTCCATGTCCACGCGGTACGCGCCGTCCCCGTCCAGCCCCACCAGCACCACGCTCACCTCCATGGGCACTGACAGGGGCGACTGGGGGAGGGGAGGGAGGGGGGGACAGGGGGAGAGGAGGGAGGGGCGTGCGGGGCGAAAGAGGGTGTGTTTAGGGAAGAGGGTTGGTGGAAGAGGGAGAAACGAATTGCCCACTTGTGAATTGACTCGGTACGGTCCGTCCCCGTCCAGCCCCACCTGCACCACGCTCACCTCCATGGGCACCGATAGGGGCGACTGGAGGTGTGGGGGAGGTGAGCAGGCAGGGATGGGGGAGAGAGAAGCGATGGGAGGGGGATGAGGGGGAAACGGAGGTGTCCCGCTTCCAGATTCTCTCGAAAACACCTCACCGCCGTCCAGCCCCACCAGCACCACGCTCACCTCCATGGGCACTGATTGATAGGGGCGACTGGGGGGCGCACATGGGGGGGGAGGAGGGGGCGGTGGGACGGTGGGTGGTGGGGCCGGGGGGGTTTGGGGAGGATGGTGGGGGACGTACGGGAGGGAAGGGAGCAGGGGGAGGGGATGTGTGGAGGGGAGAAGGGGAGAGGGATGTGGGGGGGTGGGAGAGAGGAAGAGTGGTACGGCTGGTGATCGAGGAGGGAGAATTGGTGGGACAAGGAGAACGGTAGAAATGCAGAAACAGAGCTGCCATGCTCCCTTCCCAGGTCCTCTCTACCAGCAGCCCCCGACCTTTCCCCTTCCCGTGAACCCCTTTCCTCACCCTCCTCCCCCCTCTCCTCCACCCCCAACCTCTCCCCACCCAGGATACACCATCATGCCAGTCCCTCCCTCTTCCCCGACCCTTCCCTTCTCCCCCCCTTTCCCCCGCGCTTCCCCCCTTCTTCCCCCTCCTCCCCCCCTCGCCCTCCCTCTCGCGGGTCTCACGTCGGTGCTGTGGAAGAGCAGCGTGTCGATGGAGCGCGTCACCACCAGGATACCGTTCCTTACCAGTTGCATCACAACTTCCCCCTCCCCCCTCCCCCCTCTCCCCTCTCCCCTCTCCCCTCTCCCCCACCTCCCCCTGCCATCCCCGGATCCCAATGCTCACGTCGGTGCTGTGGAAGAGCAGCGTGTCGATGGAGCGCGCCACCACCGTGCGCACCTCCTCGAACGGCCCGTGGTGCCAAGGCGACAGCATCCCGCGCGGCCGCTTGAACGCGCGCGCCGCCGACTCCGCCGCGCATTGCGGCGCGCGGCTCGGCGCCAGAACGAGGAGGGCTATAGCGAGGATGAGAAGCGAGCGGATGGTACAAGCGGTGCGCGCAGGTGAGAGGGACGACACGCGACGCGGCGAGAAGAGAGAGGGAGGAGAGGGGAGAGAGCGGGAAGAGAGAGGAGAGGGAGCGGAGAGAGGAACGAGAGGGGACGGGGGGGTCGCAGGGTGTGATAGATGGCAGCACTCGCGCGACTGAGGCGCGGGATTTATTTGACGGCGATAATATCGGCCTAGCGTTTTCCGTCCGGTTACACGTCCCGAGCTGGTTTTGGGCGGCCGAACGTCCGTCGAGCGGTGGCTACGAGAAGCGCTGACTGGGTGCTGCTGGAGCGGTGAGATTGCGGCGGCAGAACCGCCATGGCCATCCATTGAATGACGCGTAGTCAATGCTCGGGAATCAGAAGGACGAATATGAATGCAACGGCAGTCGATGTTCAGCGCGACACCGACCAGCGAAACCTGATCTGATCTGAAAATTGGTCTGTTTGAATAACTATTGGGCACGATCCGCGAGAAACCGAAAGAGACAAACGCGCTGTCCGTGAGCGAACTATCAGATCCTGCAATGATCGGGGAAGTGTTTCCGATTCGTGGCTAGAAGCAAGGTTGGTAGCTACTAATTTGTGGCCAGGAAATTCTTCTACGACCCAAGACAAGGAAGGCGCCGGCTTGGACTCGGGGGTTACTTATGCGAGGGGTGGCCTCGGCGATTAGGGTGTGTAACCATTTCGTTTAACAAACCGTCCGTGCGATACTGACGCTATAGCGGAAATCGCAATATCTAATATATGATTACAGGATGTCAATACAAATTATGGCCTGGTACTCAAGTTTGGAGGGACCCTTTGGAGTTGTCAGAGGTGTACGCAGGAAGGAATTGAATTTTTCTTCCACTAAGCAAGCTCCATAAGACTACCGGTAATCGAGCGGCCACGCCAGCCAATTGCTCACAGCATAAGGAATGGTTTTCTCTAGTCAAGCACCAACCAATGCACCATTTGCTTGTAACTTAGAGATTCCCACATCCACCACAAGCATGAGGTTTGATTAGATCAACTAAAGAACAACCCAAAATTAAATTTGTTACCTACAGATGCCCAGATCAGCATCTCCTCCACCGTACCCACTGCATGAAACCCTAGCATTGCACTCTCCTCTGCTCGCACCCAAAACGCCTCTTATTTCACTTTAGCCACAAGCTTCCCACAGAGCGCGAACTTGTTACCGTCGCGTGCTACAACCGCACGCGATGATGCTATCTGGGGACCAAGAAGACGGCGGGCGTTGGCCTCTGAGCTCGCGAGTTGATCCGTATAGAGTACAAAGCTGTAACGCTTGCGGCGTCCAGCCTTGGCACTTGTGATGTTCATCAAAGGGAACATTGATTCGGGAAGTTCTGTGAAGCAGGACGTCGCGAGATTGAACTTGGGTATATCTCCTCCTTTGAGGTTCAAAACTACTACCTTAATGGACACCATGAATGACGATGCAGAGTACCTGTCAACAGTGGCAAGAGGAGGTAATATTCAAAGAGCACTTCCATTGCACTGCATAGATGCTCATTGCTTCCTCAGAAAGTGCTGCCTGTGATTGAATGAAAACATTAGAAGGCTCGGAAAAGAGAACAGTGGTTGTTTGTGCGGACGCCTCAAGAAATGGGATGGGGCGGGAGATTTGGCCCAGCTCGTGTAAGACTTAAAGAGATGATTGCGACTCCACAGGGCAGGACTCGTGTCAGCGCCGCCAGTGGAACAAGGGAACAAGGGGACAGCGGCATACCTCGCTGCCTTGAACGCAATGGTCCCCGAAGCCCCTTTGTCACCGATTACTTTCCCCTTTCGCTTGGTAGGACGCAGATTGGCCACGTATTTATCTAGGATCGGGAATGGGAGGGATCAGGAAGACGAAGAAGTTAGTAGCTGCTGGTTCTGAAGTGGCATAATAAAAAACGAGAACGCAAAAGGGTCGGGAAGTTGGGTAAGTGAATGACGTAGCACACACACCAGCTGCAGCACTCACACCAGCTGCAGCACACACTACCACGGTCGCACACATCATCCGATTGACAAGCTGCACACTTCTATGGTTCACAAATCAAGGAGACTTTTAAGGTTTTTACCGCCTGCAATGATTCTACGCGCATGGCGATCATACAGTCAGCGCTGGGCTAAGAACCGGCCACTGCTGGAAAACCGCCGGCAGTCTGAGAAAGAGTCTAGTAAGGAGAGTCGTTACTAGTTGTGACGGTTACAACACTTACAGACTGTCTTTCCCTTCCAATACAGGGGCCTGGCAGGACCAGCAGAAGCGGTAGACGCGACAGAAGCGGCAGAAGCGGCAGAAGCGGCAGAAGAGCCGCCGTGGTGAGTGAGGAGCGGCGCGGACCATGATGTGGCCGACGCGCCGTAAGCAGTGCAGACCGTCGCACCTGCAGGCAAGCATGCGGGCAGGCAGACAGGCAGGCAGGGCGATTTGAGACGCGCTGACGTGGGGCACGAATGTTCAACGACCTGACGGGTCTGCCTCTGTTACCCGACGGAAAAGGGAAAGCAGCAGCTTAGTGACAGTGTCGATACGAAATTAAAACCCAGCAGCAGTTCAATGAGAGTTGTAAGGACTTACAGAGCAGCAGGCGGCAGAGGAGAGATAATGCGGCGCGGCGCTCCATGATGCTCTGATCGCTCCAGATGCTTCGTCGGATGATAAGAGTGTCGGCAGAACAACTACAATCTACTCACTTGGCACTTTTGAAGGACACCTTGTAGTATGAGGAAACCGTGCATTAATAGTAAGCGGTTGAGGGGTTCCGAAGAGGCCATCGATCCATACGAGGGGTCGAGTCGAACTACTGGAGGCCTGGCAGATGGATAGGAGCTACCAGTGGTGCGGGAACACGTCTGGTAGGTATAGGGGAGAGCCCCCTAGGTGGGAAACACGGCTGGACAATCTCTGGAGAACTCACGCCGCCGCGTTGCACATCGGAGTGTCTAGCAGGCCGATTCCATGCCGCTCTCAACCAATCGGCAAGTGACACCCAACAATTTCGGTGACCATTGAAGATAAGCATCTTAGAATGGAGTTTAGTGGCCACCCAGTCTAGGGGATGCCGTATGGTAGACTTGGTGTGAGGCATCCCTGCACCGCTGGCATAGCAGTGAACCTGGGGCTACTTGCTGCCACCCGTACCATACGGCGTTGGCGACACGACGACGGCAAACCGCAGACCGCAAGACGACGGCTAACAAGGTATGGCTGCATTTGCAGCAACTTACACATTAGTTCGCGCCACTGTAGAACATCCAATGGAAGAACAATGGTTCCGTTGGTTCTAGGATCAGTTATGGTTCGGTACGGTATACGTGAAGCTCATTACACATTGTAGTAAACTCGCTAAATATAATAACCTCTAAATGAAATAGCCGTATACTTTCAATCAAACACAAGATCACCATCACAAATTCTGTACGTGCAGATCCTTATGACACGGAGCGGGGTGTATTGGTAGGTACTTATGTTGGAATAACCGAAAGGCTATACTAGCATTCCCCGAAGGTATCGCTGTAGTGCACTACCTCATAAAGAGGTTGCGAAGTAAGGGTATATTTTTGTGTCGACATTTGTGTCTCAATCCCTTTTTTCCCGAGTCGCGTCTGAAAATTTTGTCAAACTCGCGTCACAAAAAATGAATGTATCGCGAAACTGGGCGACCAGGCGAAATTTACAGCCGTACGTATCTAATTGGGTTTCAGACATGACTGTACATCTGTTTCTTCAACCGCCTGGCTGGGGTGGGGTTTCGACGAGCGGATTATTTTCCCGCGCGAGATTGGCATTGTGCGGTGTCCAGGTGCATTGACATTTCGAACCGCGTGCGACTTTTTTTCAGTGACGGGTCAATATGCAACCCGTCCGCGATGTCAGTGCGTTACACGCTGACCAATGAAACAGTAATGGTCGCACAAGGGCGACACGCGTTTGTGACATTGTATGTTCTATGTTGTTTTTACGCATCACAAAAGGTTTGAGACACAAATGTCGACACAGGAATGTACCCTAACTACTATAGCGTTACGCTAATTGAGAGAGCGATACCAGTAGAGGGAGATAGAAAGTCAACAGTCGGCAGTTGCTACGAGTGCAATTGAGTGAGCAAACGAAGATTGCAGTATCGAAGCAAGATCACAATGAGTGAAGGAATTGATCGAAACTAGCGTGGTGACGGTAACACGCTGACTATGGGGTGCGCGACGGGCCTGGTGTCGAGGTTGGGAATTGTCGAGGCAGAGGGCCGGAGTGCGGGTTACCAACCAAACCATGGGGTTGGGTCGCGACGTAAACAGTGGCAGGAACAGTGTGTCAGAATCAGCAGTAGAAAGTAAGAATGAAGAAAGGAGGAGGGGTTTCCCTAGCAGCAGTTGGGATACATATAGCAAACCCTAACAGGGTTGTACTCGCTATAGAGCACCCCACTACAGGCTAGATAATAACATTCTGACACACCCCCATAGCCAAAGTGGGGTGTAATCAGCACAACAAGCAAGCATAGTAATAGTTCACAATTATAAGCAAAGCTAGAGGTAATCACAACGGGCAAGTGAGGAGGAGGAGGGACTGTGCGAGGATAGAAGATGGGAGACGACGGCTGAAGTTGCAGACACACGGGCAACAGGAGCTGCTGGCACAGTGAATACCGAGACAGCGCCCCGGACTACTGGAGTAACTGGCTCACGGGCTACGAGGAGCTACAGGAGCAACGAACCCACGGGCGACAGGCGCAGCAGACTCTCTGGGCTACCAGGACAGTGCGCCCCGGACTACAGGTGCTGCGGACGACAAGACAGCAGCCTCCACTCAACCTCCCCCGACCGTCCCACACCCCTCTCACACACACCCCCTGCTTCACCCCTAGCTCCACTCCCCCTTCACCCCCCTAGCACCACTCCTTCGGCTCCCCACACACACACCCCC